GATGAAGGTAAATTCAAGTAGAATGGAGTAAATTCAGAATCGTATCATATCAATCTTAATTACTTAATTAAGAATATTGTTGATGAGGGTGGATTCAGGTAGAATAGAATAAAACTCAGAATAGCATCACATCACAGAAGACGTGGCCAGCGCCACGCCCTGTTTCATTGACCCTCCGTCCAACCCATTCCAGTTACCTATATTAGCTGACTGAGCTCTAGTCAACTGAAATCAAAAAACACTCCGTTATCCTTTAATAAACCCATCACCCTTAGATTAACAATTCTACAGACCATCTATCCACGACAAACAACAGAGTCGATTATCGTCAATGATGAAGGCTGACTTAAAATGTCAGTGGCGTAGCCAGGAAAATCATTACCCCCCCCCCCCCCCCCCCCATAACGTACATAAATAGGCGCGGCGAAAAAAAAGGGAGTTGGCCCGGGGGTGAGGTGAAATATGTGGCTATGCCGCTGAAAACAGGGTAGAAGTTGTTTATTTACTGCCAGATTTAACACGAAGTAGACCGTGGATTGAAAGGCGGCTACACTCAGACATGACCTAGAGCAGAATTCAGGTGTAGACGTTGTGTCTAGCAATTACCTCCACGTCAGATGTGTGCAGTACATGCAAGGTTAAGGTGGGAAGTACATGCATGGTTAGGGTGGGAAGTGCATGGTTAAGGTGGGAAGTACATGCATGGTTAGGGTGGGAAGTACATGCAAGGTTAGGGTGGGAAGTACATGCATGGTTAAGGTGGGCAGTACATGCAAGGTTAGGTAGGGAAGTACATTCATGATTTGGGGTGGGCAGTACATGCAAGATTGGGGTGGGCAGGACAATCATGATTGGGGGTGGGTGGTACATGCATGATTGGGGTGTGAAGTACAAGCATGATTGTGGTGGGCAGTACATGCATTATTGGGGTGGGAAGTTGCATGGTTAAGGTGGGCAATACATGCAAGATTAGGGTGGGAAGTACATGCAAGGTTAGGGTGGGAAGTACATGCAAGGTTATGGTGGGCAGTACATGCATGGTTAGGGTGGGAAGTACATGCAAGGTTAGGTAGGGAAGTACATGCAAGGTTAGGTAGGGAAGTACATGCATGGTTAAGGTGGGCAATACATGCAAGGTTAGGGTGGGAAGTACATGCAAGGTTAGGGTGGGAAGTACATGCAAGGTTAGGGTGGGCAGTACATGCAAGGTTAGGGTGGGAAGTACATTCATGATTTGGGGTGGGCAGTACATGCAAGATTGGGGGTGGGCAGGACAATCATGATTGGGGGTGGGTGGTACATGCATGATTGGGGTGTGAAGTACAAGCATGATTGGGGTGGGTAGTACATGCATGATTGGGGTGGGAAGTACAAGCATGGTTAAGGTGGGCAATACATGCAAGATTAGGGTGGGAAGTACATGCACGGTTAGGGTGGGAAGTACATGCATGGTTAGGGTGGGAAGTACATGCATGGTTAGGGTGGGAAGTACATGCAAGGTTAGGGTGGGAAGTATATGCAAGGTTAGGGTGGGAAGTACATGCAAGGTTAGGGTGGGAAGTACATGCAAGGTTAGGGTGGGAAGTACATGCAAGGTTAGGGTGGGCAGTACATGCAAGGTTAGGGTGGGAAGTACATTCATGATTTGGGGTGGGCAGTACATGCAAGATTGGGGTGGGCAGGACAATCATGATTGGGGGTGGGTGGTACATGCATGATTGGGGTGTGAAGTACAAGCATGATTGGGGTGGGTAGTACATGCATGATTGGGGTGGGAAGTACATGCATGGTTAAGGTGGGCAATACATGCAAGATTAGGGTGGGAAGTACATGCAAGGTTAGGGTGGGAAGTACATGCAAGGTTATGGTGGGCAGTACATGCATGGTTAGGGTGGGAAGTACATGCAAGGTTAGGTAGGGAAGTACATGCAAGGTTAGGTAGGGAAGTACATGCATGGTTAAGGTGGGCAATACATGCAAGGTTAGGGTGGGAAGTACATGCAAGGTTAGGGTGGGAAGTACATGCAAGGTTAGGGTGGGCAGTACATGCAAGGTTAGGGTGGGAAGTACATTCATGATTTGGGGTGGGCAGTACATGCAAGATTGGGGTGGGCAGGGACAATCATGATTGGGGGTGGGGTGGTACATGCATGATTGGGGTGTGAAGTACAAGCATGATTGGGGTGGGTAGTACATGCATGATTGGGGTGGGAAGTACATGCATGGTTAAGGTGGGCAATACATGCAAGATTAGGGTGGGAAGTACATGCACGGTTAGGGTGGGAAGTACATGCATGGTTAGGGTGGGAAGTACATGCATGGTTAGGGTGGGAAGTACATGCAAGGTTAGGGTGGGAAGTATATGCAAGGTTAGGGTGGGAAGTACATGCAAGGTTAGGGTGGGAAGTACATGCAAGGTTAGGGTGGGAAGAACATGCATGATTAGGGTGGGAAGTACATGCATGGTTAGGGTGGGAAGTACATGCAAGGTTAGGATGGGCAGTACATACAAGGTTAGGTAGGGAAGTACATGCAAGGCTAGGGTGGGAAGTACATGCATGGTTAAGGTGGGCAATACATGCAAGATTAGGGTGGGAAGTACATGCATGGTTAGGGTGGGAAGTACATGCAAGGTTAGGGTGGGAAGTACATGCAAGGTTAGGGTGGGAAGTACATGCAAGGTTAGGTAGGGAAGTACATGCATGGTTAAGGTGGGCAATACATGCAAGGTTAGGGTGGGAAGTACATGCAAAGTTAGGGTGGGCAATGCATGCATGATTGGGGTGGGCAGTACAATAATGATTGGGGTGGGCCTGGAAAATCAGACACAACAAAGGGAAACCTTAAGATCGGGCAATATTGGCATCTCACCCCCTCCCCTCAATATGAACCACGAATCGAAACATATAACAGGCCACTCGTTTCTTTTAAACATCTCTTTGATACATAAAATAAAAAAATAAAATGTATGGAAAATTATATATTTTAACCAGTGTCCGCCCACATCCCGAAAGTTTCAAGTGCCCCCCCCCCCCCCGAGAAAAATGTCGGAAAGAAACACTGGGGACTAGTCGAGAGTACTAGATCTAGGTCCAAACTACAAGAGAGCATATTTGAACATACATCGCTCTGAGCTATCAAAATAATAAATAAAGGAAATATACATTTTTATTTTTAAAAAAAAAAACGAACTGTTTTTTTTTTAAAGAAACATAGCAACTCTAAATACAATCAGTTTGAACTCGAGATTATAACTTCTCCGAATTAGGAATGTTTCGAGTTACGAACTATTCGAAAATGAATGGCTCGAGTTACGAACTGATCGGTTGAATTTTCCTCTCGAGTGCATGGAATAGTAAAAAGTTGGTGTTTTTGTGCATCATGGTTGTTTATTTTTTTTTAATGTATGGTTTTAGTGTGTTTGAACTGTTAGTCTTGGGTGTATCTGTTAGCTGGTTCAGTATATAAAAACTCGAGGAATGGATTTTCTGCATCTATAAACTTATTGATGAAATTAGGACAATGGGTATCTATGGAAAAGTGTTTTCAGTGTTACGAACGTACCTTTCACGAATCCAGAATGCGAATCAACACTTGACCGAAATGTGTAAGATCTATATAGATCAAGAATGAACATCATGTTCTTCTCATTATTATTATTATAGGACAGTGTTTGTATACTACCATAACCAAAGCGATTTCAATGAATGCCTACACATTGTATAACCTGATATTAGGTTGCTAAAATCAAATATTACATACCTACAAATTAAAAAATAAATAAATGATAGATCGAAGTTCGGAAATAAATATGTAATACTAGTGATAAGTTAAAATAAGTTTACATTATTACATTATTTACATCAATATACTTTATAAATCGAATCATTTGTTATCGAGTAAACCTGTATTTATTTTTCAAATATCCCTAATTGTTCCGGTAAAAACTAAAAAGTTATCCCCATAACAACAACACCGTCCCGTGCCACACAGCTGGCGTCTACATGTCATTTCAGTGTGTAACAACAAGGTAAGTAGCAGACGTCCTTGTTTGTGGCCCAGCCTACTCCAACCTTCCACCCCCCTAAATCAACTCGCCCCACCCGGCCACGAAAAACAACATGTCGCCTGAACGTAACACCACCTTTGCCTTGAGCCGGTGCATCGACACGTAGGCGCCTAGGTCTGACCGTTTAAAAATCTCTACCATTTCGACCACTGGCTTGCTAGAAACAGTAAACGATGTATACAGAAATTAGGCCAAACTCTCGGCGCGGAGTTGGAACTTTCTTTTATCGACCTGCGCACAGAAGCGTACCAGAATTTGGGATATTTTACCACAAGTTTGGTTCAACTAAGGGAAGGGAGGGGTTGTATGAGTATATTACTTTTGTGTTGAAAATAGAGGGGTAGGGGAGGTGGTTGAGAAACTGTATGTATAGCTGTGCCTAGGGGTGAGTACTTAAAGTGGAAGGGGGGAGCAGTTTTCACCAGCTAACATTCTTGCTTTGTTTTCGTTTCTTACCCACACCCATAAACTAATACACAGGTGCCGAGGTAACAGGTTTTTTCCCCTTTTATTTTTTTCCCTACAGTATCTTGAAATAAACACTTTCCCACGTTCTAACCGACGTCTGTTGTTGCATTCTTAAACGACTAGAAAAAAAAAAGTTCTCTTGAAAAAAAAACGAAAAATATATGATAAGCCTAAGTTGTAAACTCGATAATTATCTTATCAACAATAAAGATAAATAAGTAAAGTAAGAATAATACGGTTTTTATTTTAATTTTATTATCTTTATATTTTACAAATGGGGGTAATGAGTTTACATTTAAAAATACATTTAAATTAAAAGTTCAACTTTTTAAAACTATAAATTATCGTTTACCTAAATAAATGCACAAATTTCAAAACGAGGTAAGGTAAATACAAATGTGTGGTTACAAGAATAGCGTAGCGGGACGGTATGGGTGGCTTTAATTTTAGGAGAAAGTGGTTGCAGCGACCTGAGCTGTCACGGCCTCTACACGCAAGGCTAACCGGCTACAAACGCTCCATTTTTTTTAGTCCGTGCTCGAAGTGGGACGATTGGACAGGACGGTTTGTTACCGCTGGAGAATTCCCGTTAGAACAAATCATAACAGGATAACTTCGCTATGAGCGCCTTACCGGTGACTGTTTAGTAGTTATTGTTTACATCGGTGCCTAGACTCATTTCTGCCATAGGTCATAGAGCGGATGCTGTCAACGTACATGCGCACACGGCATCCATCTACGACCTTTCTCTTACTACTTCAAATGAAATGAAAACATGGCCGAGGTGGTCGGCAGGTGCGGTCGAAGAAAACAGAGGAATCCACGGAAGAAAAACGGTAAGTTCTGATTTTTAAATAACTGATGTTCTTATTATACCTTTCATAAATATAGGAGTAGAATGGTTCGTTAACTTGATAGATTGTTATTTATTTGTCGAAGTAGATGTATGAATTACCCACCTCCCTAGAAACCACCTGCCTAGCCCACCGTGCAAGCCTGACAGGTCTAATGATAACGGGTTGGGTTTGATGGTTGATCTTTTTAAGATTATAGATTGTATTGCTGTATTGTGTTGTTAGTTAATGAAAATAGTTATATTCAATCAATTTTTAATTAAATTCTGTTATATTTGTGGGTTGTTTGATTAGGTGAGTAGAAAGGTAAGTCGATGGGAGGGAAGAAAATATAAAAAAAAGAGGCCAAATATGGCTTGAAATAGGCCATTCCATAATGAGGTTCTAGCATCGCGCGAATGCCACAGTTTGGTGAGTCGTGGCACCGCCTCGCATTATTTATCTAAATGTGGGCTTTTACATTATGCTGTAGGTTGTACGTTACATAGAGAATAGAGCAAGCGTACTCAGTTATTGTCACCAAACATTTGTGTCTGATTTTAGGTTTGGTGATTATGTTCAAATCTTGTTTGCATATGGCTTTTTAAAATTGCAGTATAATTTTAAATCATAACTGTAGACTGTTAACTATAATATTTTTTTTTAAAGTATGGGCTTGTCGAGTTTACATTGATTTTTTCCCCCTCCCTGCTGAATATTGCAATGGGAAAATCCCATTTTTTTTTAAATATTTTTTTTTAAAGTTTTGTTTTAGCCGTATGCTTTAGAATCTAGTTTTTTCTTTAAAACAAAGGCAGCGAAATTTTTTTAATAACATTAAACGTTTAAATTATTTATTATTTAAATCAATTTGTAATTACAGATTTTATAACTTTTTTTTCTTAAATCAGAAACTTTCATGTATGCATCTATTAGTTTTGACTTATGTATAGATAAACTCCTAATTATTAGATTCATAAAATATTAAATAGCCCCATTTTTAACAAGGCATATATTTGGCCAAACTTGTAAATAAAAGATGTTTAAAACACATTTTGATGATTAAAAAAATTGTTTAGGCTTTTTTTTCGTTAAAAAAGTGAAGTGTTTGCATTTTGTTTTATACAACACTTTATAGATGCAAGTGGATTTTTAGTCTAGAATGAAACACACCTATTGCACTTTTTGTTTATCCTACACCCCCCCCCCCCCCCCTCCCCCACTCTAGTTGTTTGAGTTCCAGTTTCCCCTGGCATCAGTTATCCAGTTATCTTAATTTGACCCATGTTTCTGTTGATAGGGCCAGGGATTGTTTAATTTTTTTTCTCTCTTACCTTCATGTAGTCAAGGCTTTGTTTAGTGATATGGTATACACCAGTTTGTGGTGTAAATGTTGGCCTTTTGATATACGACCTAATCTTACTGGCCCGTGGTGTATGTATCAGCCACGTGTGAGTGAGGTGTTAACGTTCGTGAGTGATGTATTAACGCGAGTGTGTTGTATTCAGTAATGTGCTGTACCCAATTGTCTTGCTATTTAACAGTCGTGCACGCCGAATTTAAGTCTATTACAGGCCAAGCAGATTAATTAAAGCTTCTTCTTTATCTTGTACTAATACATATATAATATTAATTTTTTGGCCTATGTTTGATTTGCCATATCACGTTAGCATGGTTTAAGTTTAGAGTTAGATTTTTTGGGGAATTGTTAGATTTGGGGTTTAAGATTCCTGTGAGGAGTATGAGTTGTTATTTTGTGTGTGTGACACATGTGTTTGCATTGAGTGCACACCAGTTTTAGGTTTACTCACATCCGAACTATGGGGTCATCGTGTGACAGTCTGTCGTGTGCGTGTGTCTGTGGAACAACGTTACACATACAAGATCTTCCGCTACATCTAGGGTCGGGCCAGTGTTGAACCAACGTACCTTTAGTACATATTAATTTTAATATGAGGTGACACACATAAATAACGTCATAATTAATATACACCGGTTTTTTTATATAAGGACTTGTGTATCATACAAACGCGTATACAAAACCTCAACTAAGCCATAAATTGATTGATAATTATAAGAAAATGTCAAACACTGAATGAATGAAACACACGAGCCGTGTGCTGTAGTGTATATCTTAGCTAGCCTGCTGTTGGCACCGAGCGTATCAGGCATTGTGATGCTTGCTCTCGAGGGGTCAGATGCCACACGTTCCCTTATCGATTTCTCACATTGACTATTGCGTGTGTTGGCCCACTGCGTGTTGGCTCACAGAGCCCAACACAACCTATAATGATAACTGCCATTGTCTTTTAGCGCACAAAATCACCGATGATACGATTCGTTTTGGCATGAGGCTTTGTTGATCGGAACGGTTTTTATTTAGCTGTAAAACTTGAGCTTAATAAGGGTATGTTTATAAACGTGTGCTTTAAAGGTATGCATCACTGCATTTTTTATTAGTATAAAGATATCGTTTACTTTTTTTATGAACAACAAATAACTATGTGTGCTGAGAATGTGTACACACCGCCAGTCTTTATGTCAGTGTTTCTTGTACACTCACATGTCCACATTGATATTAATTAATCTCCCCCACCCCCACACCCCAACTACGCCCCTCCCCAATTTCCCGCTTTCTCCTTTCATAGAGAGCTCACCCTCTCTCCTCTCCCCCACCCTCCCGATTCCAGCACTCGAAGAAAAAAGTCCCAGTGCCATGACACCGAGGGGGCGTGCTGTCACCCCACCCCCTAAAATGTCCCACTAGGATTTGTCTGACTAATGATTCTTCTTTGTCTCTCAACTTCTTTCTTTGCACCCTTTCTTTGTTTTTAATGCAACTTTTTTTTTTCGAATTTTTTTTATCCCGTTGAACTAATGAACACTTCATATCGAGTAGACTTATCTTTGTCAAACAACAGTGCGTGTTACGCGGTTTTAAACATCCTTGTACATTTTTTACCTAACTAGGCCTGCGGCGTGTCGTTGTAAAGATAAATCTAATGTTACATTTCTCGTTAAACCAACTTCAGACCTCGATGACCACCCACTTACGAAGTTAGTGAGTGAAACATAATACAGTGCTAACTGTACCTTTACATTTTTTTTAGAAACAATGGCAGCTAAGCATTGGTCGTGGTCTAGTTTAGCATCGAGCTAGTTCCTGCTAGATGTGTGTGTCAAGTGGTCGAGGTGAATGTCAGCACACGTGCCGCGACACTTGACGTACACACTTAGACTTACTCGCTACAAACACGGCGAACACAGCCCGGCCTACTTCTGTCCCGTCCTTTTGTTGCCCCTGCGGTTCTCTACATTTACTTTCCTGTCTTGTGTTTTTCTATGCCATGCATCCAATCACATGATCGCGGTGCAATGATGAAACACCTGTACTACGTACGAGCCCTTTCGTGACATACCCATAGATTGCTGGTATTCCCACGGTACTCTACAGGTAAAAGAGCGACCATTCAGGTTGTTCACCGCGCTCGTCGTCTCACCGATTCGCTGGCTCAGGTGTATTGATCCAGGTCGGCCAGGTACACAAACAACTACCGATGATCTGTGGGCCAATCCAGTGGACTGGAGGCGGAGTCTCGCCTCCATATCTGTAGTCGGGCCTTCAACAAAAATACCGAGTTTTTGCAAGGTCTGTAGGTCAATACATAAGTAACGTTGGGGAATTATGATCAGGTGTGGCTAATTTCGTGTGTTGTAGCCCATAATTTCGGTATATCTAATAAAGTTTTAATTAAACTACCAGACGAGGCAAGGCAAACTATAGAATCCCGTCTATCTATATAAAGTATATATAGACCTTATAGCAGGCTTAGAAAATATAGACTTGCGGTATATCTCTTTACTATGGGGTCATCCATAAATGACGTCACACTCGTAGGGGGGACGGGGGGTCCGTAATTTTGTGACGATGAGTGATGAGGGGGAGGGGGGGGGGGGAGATCAGATGTTGCGACGTCACATTTTTGCATTATAAAGCAGCAATGTTAGAAAACGAATTTTAGACGTTATTTCGCGTTTTAGATAATTGTTATAATAAATTGTAATAGTTTAGACAAGATTTTGGAAAAAATATCGATGTTTAAAAAAAATTCAACTGCAATTTTGAGGGGGGGTTGTAGGTTGAGGTGTGACGTCATTTTATGGGGGGGGGGGGGTCTGGCTTTGTGTGACGGAGGGGAGGGGGGGAGGTAAAAATCGTCAAAAAAAAGCGTGACGTCATTTATGGATGACCCCTATGCCCATTGTATTTTATTGTTCATACAAATACAACACCTTCTCACACCCCACTTACTCCTATCTCATGGCATTCTTAACGTCGTCGTCCCATTTGTAGCTAACTGTCGCCGATTCTTATTTATTAGCAACAAAAGATGGACTTATTGCAGTTAAATTTTTTCGTAACAAGTCACACAGCGTCCAGCACACTGAAGTAGATCACAAGTTCCCGGTGAACAAGCAACAAAGAACAACTAATTGTCATCACGTGAACTCGAGTCTGACCTACTTGGTAGGGGAATCGCTCCCAAAATAGCATCTTTGCTGGATGTTATTAATAAAATTTCTTAGTAAAATTTTCATTCTAAGAATACAATAAAACTATCCCTACTGTTTTTAAATAGCGTATCAGTGGCGTAGCGAGGTCGGGTGTCACCCGGTGCGACACTTAATGGTGTCACCCCCCAGAGGCGTAGCGACCCTTCCCGGGGACGAACTTTCAAATTTTCGATTTGCACCCCCCCCCCTCAAATTTTTCTCTATATGTTTTTGCTATTTTTTGCCTTGGTGTCACCCCCCCCCCCTAAATGGTGTCACCCGGTGCGGTCCGCACCCCCGCCCCCCCCCCTCCCTCCCTCGCTACGCCTCTGTGTTTAATGAACCTTGCTTCTGACTCCAACCCATAACTGTAACCCTATTGTGATTGAAGTAAACGGCTCAACCAAGTACATATTCTAGTATTTTAACTGATACGTTGAATTGAAAGT